ACACCTGGAGGGCCCCGCAGCAGTCCCCAGGGTGCCATCACTGATGTGACAAGTCTTCCTTCCTTAATCCTCCAACATGCAGTACCAAAAGTGGGGAAAAAGGATAAAATAAAAGCCTTATTTTGTTTTACTTGCCGTGGATTATAAGGAACCATTAAAGCATTTTAAAGGAAATATTCAAAAGGTAGGTTGGAAAGTGTCTGATCTTTCTATAGAAAGTTGAGTACAGTATGTAACTGCAGGAAGCCCACTGCCCCTTTGTAAGTTGTGGAACCCAAAAGGTATGGAAATATTTGATGTTTTCAACAAGAGAAAGAAAATATGGTCCAAATTAAATTTTCCGAAGATATCTCATCTCTGATTTGTCTGATTATTTTTCCTGTCCCACACAATATGAGTTCATAAAAAGTGCCATTGCATTTTAAAGGGAAGTTTCCTTCACACTCCGGCGTTGACTTTGTCCTAGTGGCAGCAGTGCTACATGTAGCAAATCCTAGCTTCCCTTCAGTTTCTTTTCATTCAAAGACCAGAAGGTTGTTTAATATGTTATTTGTTTATCATCACTCAGACCTCAGGGCTGATCTGAGAAGAATAATTTCTTTTTGTTGAGTTAGTGGTTTTTATTTGAGGCGCTACTCCCATTAGTGTTACCAGACATGCACAAACATGCTCCCATTTTTCAGTTATAGTAAAATACTTATTTTTCCAATTCCTGACAGATTTTGTTATAGTGTTATAGCAAATATTACTGAAATAGCCACCCTGCAAAAAAAAAGTAAAAACTTAACTCAGGGAGAGAGTTTGATTCTTTTTTTTTTTCTTTTTTTTCCTCTTCTTTTTCTTTTTTTTTTCCAGCTGAGAGGTTAAAATAGGCTTTGTAAATAGCTCAGAGAAAAAAATGATTGTATCTTGAATTTTTAAGTACTCAATTAAGACATAAAATGTAATTATTGATTTACAGAATTCTGTTCATTAATGCAACCTTATCGCAAGCATACTGTTTTGTACAAACAACTTGGCCAGGCCTCTGGTTCAACTGTGCCTCCTAATACAAGGTAATGATGATTTCTTTTCCTTAAACATACTTCTTTTCTGTTTATTTCATTTTCCAGAGACTTGTCCCAACCTTCTGATAAAGCCCTATGTAGCCAACAGTAGCACCTTAAAGTTTTTATTATAAGTGGTGCCTCCTTCCTCTCTCTTACCAGTCATATTAGAGAAGCCACATCGTTAAATGTTGAAATACTCATATTTTCGGTTTCCCTTGAAAAATCTTCACCTTGGATCTTTGTTTTACCTATTCCTTTATTCACCTAATGTTTGTGGAGTTCCTGTTTTGTGCCATAGTCTTGTGCTAAATTCTGGAGTTAGAACAGGGTACCTGCCTACCTTATAACATTTTACAATTCAGTGGGAACACACACTTGTCAATGTGATAGAAGAAAATAATAGTTCTAATGGAAGCATATGTTCAGGAGCAGCTGACATGCAGGGGAAGGGGATCATGTACAAAAGGGAATGATGTTGGCATTGTATGATTTGATAGACCTTTAAAAATGCTCTCAAACAGCGTAGTGTGGTAAGGTTTTTGAAAGTAAATGGCACTGTAGTGGAACTGGGCAGCTCTCTGATTTTAGACTCGGAGCTGTTTGAAATCACTCTGACGTACAGATCTCAATGAGATTTTGGAAATGTCAGAGCTCTGTAGCCTCACAACCAATTCCTAATTCCATGAATTAAAACATAAGGATCACCTATTTAGGGTAGTGCCTTCTGTTCTATTTCTACAGACCTTACAAATCCCAAGTGAGTAGAAGTTTAAAAGTTGCTGGAGAGCTGATGAAAAGAAGACAAGAGATGCAGGTCACACACAAAAATATTTTCTTCCCCCAACTTTAGAAAAAAATTTTTTATATATATGTATAGTATATAGATGTTGTATATAGAGAGAGGCATTAAAAGAATAGTATAATGAGCACCAATACACCCTTCATCTAGATTCACCAAACTGTGCCATTTTGCCACATACACTCTCTCTACATAGACATGTACACGTGTATAGTATATATATGCTTGCTTTTGCCAAATCACTTGAAAGGTACAGACACTGCACTTCCAGATACTTCATTATACCTCTAAGAATGGCATTTCTCTGCATACCCACTCATGTACCACTGTATACCTAAGAAAATTAATGCAATAATATCTAATAATTCATATTCCAATTTTCCCAAATGCCCAGAGATGTCTTTTATATGACATCCGTTTGTTTTATGATCCAGAATCTATTGAACATGTATACACTGCATTTGGCTGTTTAGCTTTTAAATCTAGAATACTCCTTTTTTCATGTCATTCACTTTTTTGAAGAATCCAAGAAAGCTGTCTCGTGGAGTCTTCATTACTGTGCGGTGTTCTGATTGTTTCCTCATAGTTGGATTCAGGTTAACGTGTTTGGCAGCAAGACTCCATTGGTAACGTGCTTGCTGGGGATATCACCGCAGGACGCACGCACGTCAGGTGGTCTCTTTTTTATTATTGAAGTATAGTCAGTTTACAATGTTGTGTTAATTTCTGGTGTACAGCACAGTGATTCATTTATACATATATATATTTCTTTCCATACTCTTTTTCATTATAGGCCCTTACAAGGTATTAAATATAGTTCCCGGTGCTATACAGTAGGATTTTTTTGTTTATTTTTTATACAGTAGTTAGTATCTATGTTGTCTCTCTTCTGATGATGTTACAGTGGTTAAGGTGGTGAGTGCCAGGCCTCTCCATAATTTTTCAAATAGAACCTTACAGTGCCAGAAATTTCCAGTGGTATTTTCGTTTGCTTTGTGTTTTTGCCTTAGAACTCTTAACCTTTACTAGTTTGCCTTTTCATTTACAGCAAGTTCTGCAGTTTTATTTGAACCTAGAAATGTCAATGACTGAGCTGTGGAAAAGGTATGTTGAACCTGGCGTGCATTTCATCAACCTTCTTGAGTCTCAGACTCTCCATGGATTGCTGGGGTGCACCTCAGCCTGTCTCTCTGTCTCCCCTACCATCCAACTGGAACACACACCACTAAAAATGAAGAAATGAAGGCAAGCACTGCCTTTCTCATTTTCGTACCAAAACACCTTTTTCGATTTGTAAACGGTTGGCAAAGAGGCAAATAATGCAGTGATACTTTTTTTTTTCTTCTTTTCTTTCACAAATCCTTTATCATATTTGGGCTGAGTTTAAAAGGCAGAAACATGCCAGACTTCAGGACATTTTCTTTCAGTGTGGTTTAGGATAAGAAGCAGTACAGTTATTAGCCTGCAAAATGGGGAGACACAAGAAAATAATGGCTTCTTAAATGTGAAGCTCTGATCTCAGTATCTCCAAAGGGCTGTGACATCTGACTCAGCAGGTCAAAGTCACTTTTTTCCCCTTAAGAAGAAACTGCATTCTGTCCCAAACACATCCTGATTAGTATACACAACCTAATGTCCCGTGATGTGTTGCTAAACCAATCAAGTGGCTGTATGCAGAGCTGGACCTTCCCACATCTCCATACGGTTGTCTGAGGTTGAGCTTAGCCCTTGGGACAAATACCCTGATACCCTGGAAAAGTGCTATAGCTAGTGGTCTGAATTTCTCCGGTTTTACTTCTGGGCAGTTAGATTCCTGGCCTGAGGGACTCCTTATGGTCTGAAGCACTTGGATGAAACTCCGAACTGAGAGTCCCTGACTACTTTTTCTCTTGAATCCTTTCTTACTATAACAAGTAGAGAGGGTCCAATTAGCCAAAGACCTTTAACAAGCAAGCTTTGCTTATTGTTCCAGTTAATGCCTGTACCCAACTCATTTGAGCCTGTTGGAATTTATTTAGCCAAGTGTGT